GCAAAGGAGCAGATATAGCACGAGAATATATAAAGTTGAATAGAAAAGAGCTCGAGCAAAGAAGCGTTGCGATCATGTTTGGTTCACTTCTTTGTGATATGGGACAGTATGACAAATCAATGAAGTACTTCGAGAATCTATTTCAAAATCATGAAGGTGAAAATATAAGTGACATTGAGTTTAACCTTGGTCGTGCTCACGACTTCAGAGGCGAGTACGCCCAAGCACTGCAGTTGTATGAGCATAGCTATGCAACAATGATGATGAGCAAGCCAGTGCCTGAGAAAGCATCAGCTCGAGTACTCAACAATATTGCCAATATTTATGCCAGCAAAGGCGAGTATGATCGTGCTTTGGACTATTATTCAAAATGTCTCAAGATGAGAGAAAAATGTTTTTCATCTGATCATCCAGATATTGCTACTAGTCTGAATAATATTGGCGTTGTTTATAAGAGCAAAGGCGAGTATGATCGTGCTTTGGACTATTATTCAAAATGTCTCAAGATGAAAGAAAAATGTTTGCCATCTGATCATCCAGATATTGCTGATAGTCTGTATGATATTGGCCTGGTTTATGACAACAAAGGCGAGTATGATCGTGCTTTGGACTATTATTCAAAATGTCTCAAGATGAGAGAAAAATGTTTGCCATCTGATCATCCACATATTGCTAGTAGTCTGTATAATACTGGCAATGTTTATTACAAGAGAAGCGAGTATAAGCGTGCTGTAGAGTGTTTTGAAAGATGCTCGAAGATTCGTAAAAAGTTGCTTGCATCAAAACATCCCGACCGTGTCAGGGTTGAGAAGAAGTTGTCCGAAATAAAGAAGTTTGTGTAAAGGATAGTTGTTTTGGACGGGCAGTTGTGTATGTATGTGACGGTGGAGCAGTTGTTTATGTGTTAATTTTTTTTGGTATTTGTTTCAGGCTTACAGTTGTTTTTAGACTTGTTGTTTTTACTACGAAGAAACTCCCGGCTTCGGTTTTTCTTTGAAGTCGATGTTCGGTTCGAGTTTCCAGTCGTAGATATTTTAACTATGAAAATGTCTCGTTGTTGTTTAGGTTCGTCTGTGAGTAAAAGAAACTTGCTAGTATTACTTTTAATCAGGAATGAGTTGGTTGTAAAATGTTTGGGTGCTGAAACCTAAAAACGAGCTTTTTATTGGAGATACATGCATCAAACATGTCTTACGATGAGCTCTTTTGTACAGGTCACGAATCCGACTTTTGTTTTTTGAGGTGTGAGCTCTGAAAGCAAAAAAGTCGTTGAAGATATATATGTGGATATTAAATTGGTGAAGCACGCCTGCTTAGACTATTTAAATCTTTAGATTAAAATCTACAGCATCATAATAAAGTAACAATCTATCATATGCTATGAATATTGTGCTGACAGATACATCATTTTCTAGAATCTGACCGTCAGATTGTCAACGTTTCATGAAGATACACGGTCGAAAACCGGAGTAATATAAAGGCTTCTGTTATGTGAACGATTGCTAGTTGCTACACTTGAAAGAGAGGTGATAATGATCCTTTGTACAATAAGTATTCTGGCGTAAAAGTAGGGATGTTCGGTTCTCGCTAAGAACCGGAACCGCGGTTCGGTTTTGCGTGAGGAACCGGAACCGCGGTTCTCTTGTTTTCGGTTCTTCAGCTGGAACCGGAACCGCGATTCTCTTATTTTCGGTT